GGAAGGAAGGGACGGAAGGGACGGAAGGAAGGGACGGAAGGGACGGAAGGAAGGGACGGAAGGGACGGAAGGAAGGGAAGGAAGGGACGGAAGGGACGGAAGGGACGGAAGGAAGGGACGGAAGGAAGGGACGACAAAAAGGTTTGAAGATTCCCATGGATTTGCCCAAACCGCCGAACGTCGGATCATCAACCGTTGACCGTGTGGACGCTGAACCGCCCCCACCGGAAGAATGGCTGACCGCTGACCGGACGCCGAGGCAATGCCGCTGGCGGAGCGCGGCGGTGGAGCACGGTGAAGGTCCAAGTCTCTGATCCACTTGGGCATCAACACTCAGCTGTTCTATGAAGTCCTGGCAAGTTGCGGCTGGGCGGCTTGGGTGGATGTGGCGAATCAGAAAACCCAAGCTTATAGAAGTGGTGGAGCACCAACAGACCTATAGAGCATCCTAACAGAAACAGAACGCTCTTCTGAACCATTGAACCAAAATTGGGTAGGTACCTGACATGGAGGTACAAGATGGTACAAGCATCAGATGCACTAGGATCACTTAATTCCTAAAGAGGCTTGAATGGAGGGAAGTCGGAGGCAAGTCATCGTCCATCTGATCCTTTTCAGTAAAGGTCTTGATAGTTCACTGCCCGGTGTCTTTCGTGTTTCTTTTTACCCGCTTACACAACTTCCTTCGACATTCCACCATCATTCCCTTTTCGACCTGTTTCCATCTTCCAACCACTTTCACTAGTGCCAGCAAGCTAGTAGGTTTCGATTTCACACAGCGCGGTAAGACCGCAAGATGACCAGCAAGCGACACGGTCCTTGACCAAGTGGTCCCTGCCCATCTTGTAGCTTTGTTCCCACCTGAAAGCACTTGGCAAGCTTGGAAAATTGGCAGCGTTGAACACGAAAAGACACTTTCGCTCTGCCAAAGGATCGAATGTCCACCAAATGGTCATCCGTACAAAAACAGCTTGGCTCTTTGTCAAAACCAGGATACGAAAAATGGTTGACCTGCCGTATCGCGCCGGTCTCTTGACCTACCGTGGACTGTTTTCTGGCTCCAGGGGGGCCCATATCAACGACCCATACCCATCTCTTGATGTTCATTGACTGCATCCAAACCCTCTGGATCGCTCGCTCTTATGGGACGCTCGCTCCTGATCGTTCCTCTCGTCCCTGGTCCCCTCATCACCCTCGTCCCGGGGCTCCCCGGCGGGATTTGCGCGTGGTCCCAGAAGCCGGACATGCTGCAGAGGTTGGACTCAAAGACCAGCTTGATCCTCGCGTTCCGAGGCAGATGGCAGATGCGGAACCCGGTCGACCGGTTCCGGTCGATGTCCCGGACAAAGATCTTTGGTCGAGTCAGGGGCCCACGGGACCAACGGACCCTGCGGGATGGGTACTTCTTCTCAGAGAGGCTGTTTGTAGTTTGGTCCAAGATCTTCAACATGTCCCAATTCGGGAACGTGGTCATAATATGTCATAATATGTTAGGTCAAAGTGTCGAACCTCGTGGCTGCCAGCTTCCCGAACGTTGACCAGTCCCGTTCCCTACGTCGAAGCTGGAGAACGTCTCAGCTGAAGAACGCGGGAGAAGGTGCCACTACCCCTCGCGCTATACATGACTCGTGCCCATCTCGTGCCCATTCGCCTCAGCCCCAACGACGCGGCCAGACCACCTCCACCTCCAAACCCCCCTCGACGGCCCCAACGCGAGGACGGTCTACGGGGCGGTCTTGATCTTCGTCTGCTGCTCCACCTTCTCGCGGCGCTTTTGCTCTTGCACCATGACGTCGCGGTCACATCGCTCCACCATCCGCGGGTTCACCTCCTTCCACCGAAAAGGAGAGAAGAAGCGGAGAGGGCAGCGGCTGGAAGTGGATCTGGGTCCTAAGCTAAAGCTAATGAAACTCAAGGTTGCTGAGGCAACCGTTCGTGATTAAGCACTGCAGTTGACCTTGGGACCTTGATATTGGAACTGCAACTACCTTCGCACTTCACTTCAATATTTGTAGGATTCTGGGGCATGATCCTCATACAAACACCAATTTCAACTAACCCCAAGTGCTACACCTTGAACACGACCTGCAAGAGGAGAGTGATCAACACAGGAGTGCTATAATTTGTATAATATGGTGTCTTCAAGGGGACATGGATATCCCAATGTTTGCTACACCAAATCTTAGGCGAACCTTCCGTTCTCTCTGCAGTTGCTTCGTTCTGGGGATTCCACGTTCGCCGAAATCAGGAATTCCTTCCATATACGATTGGATCATCCACTTCTATATCCAACTGGACAACAACCACGGCTTTCGAGGTGGATCTTACCGATCAATATCCACCGATCCCATTATCCTTCACCATCCCCTCAAAATGCACATGAACCCTCCAACCTCCGCTGTTCACCTGGCCGAGGGTGCACAGCCCCCCCTCAGTCAGGGGACCACCCAATCCCTTTCCGTCCCTCTGCTCCCGTCCTTGGGGTCGGGCGGGCGCAAGATCTCGCTCCGCAGGTCCTGCCGAGGACCCGAGCCGGACGTCCGACACCGTCCGAGACCGTCTGGACAAACGACGACGAGGGGCCCCCCAGTAGCACTGGGTTTGTCTACTGGACGGTCATCTGAAACGTGAATTCTCCAGTTCCAGGTGGTTCCAGGTGGCAGAGTCCTCACGGATGTACATCAACATGTACCTGAAGACAATGTACTTGACGCGTTTTCTGAGAAAAGCGGCAGAAGACCTGTGATTTGCTGGTGAAGATATCATCAATACCGATGCCATAAAGCCGATCAATTAAGGGGATGGGAACCCCCATACCACTTGTCCACTCACTTGTCCCATACAAAACATGACAATAAAACGTGGAACATGACGCATGTTCCAGAATTTTGTAGAAAGTACGCATATTGATGCTCCCGTGGATGATCTCCATTGAAAAAACCATCAATTAAGCTGAAGCACCCCTATAAACGGTTGAAACATGTTTAAACGACGACTGTGGCACGCATTGTGGCTTCGCGATCTTGTCGCCGGAGCAGCATTCCGCCTAGGTCAGCGGGTGGGCGTGGTCCTATGTCTGAGGATTCAGTTTGAGACCAATACAAGATCTTGCCTTCCACATTAGGAGGTGGTGCTGACCATGGCTATTCATTCTGTGACTTGCAAATGTAGCAAGAGAGCCCGGCCTAGTCTACAGAGCGATCTTGATCGTGATCCAATTAGACTTGACATGACTTGACCTACCCACTAAATGATCTTCTCAGCTACTCCCCAAAAGCACAACGTGGCACATGGGAATGCCAACAAACCAGCGATCAAATCGATCTCCTTTCCGCTCTGAACGCTGAGAATTCCTTGTCTGTGACATGTCTGACTCCTCCTTTTTCTCACGTTTCAATGGACTCGCCGGAAACGTGTGGAGGACTCGCCGGATGACTGGGAACTGGGGCAGCTCGGTCGGACTTCGGTCGAAGTAGTTCCACACAGCTAAGTCGTTGCCTGGCGACGGCCGGGGGGCGATGGCAGGGCGGCAGGGCAACGGCCGGAAGTGGAAGGTGGTTCAGTAGCTGGTGGATGCTGGTGGAATTGTTTTTCGGCCGTCTAGGGGTGGGCTGTACAGTAAATGGTTGTAACAAAGATCCCATGTTCGGACCAGAGTGTCCGGCATCGACTTGGACCGATGTGCGAGAGGTATGCGAGACGATGGTAACAAAGGGATGGAAATTCATCGAATGGTGCAGGGATGGCAATCTTGGAAGAAAGACACGATTTGCACAAGAATCCCAAAATGGGCAGCTCGGTTGACACTCTTTCTATGCCCCACTTGGTAGAACAAATCTGTAACTGTAATACATAGCCAACCCTGCATGCCCGTCCGTCTCCTCCATAGTTGTCTTCAATCGCCGCATACTCGCTGCAGGGCGTGACGGTCTCGTCATCGAACTTGAACCTGATGAGGTCAGGTCTCGTCCGGCGGACGGGAGATCCAAACCAAACGCATCCAAACGCCACGCGTCAGGCGCGTCAGAAGAATAGCGGACCCAAGCGGACCAAATCCATGTGCTGGCTTAAGCCACCTTGGCAAACAAGATGACGCCTCCTCCAGGTGGGCAGCTGGTCCAACTGCTCTTTTTTCAATACAAACCCTCTTCCCGCCAAGAAACGCCTGAGAAGAACGTTGCTTGATGTTGCTTGTTTGCGAGACCAGGCTTTTGGCAGAGCCATGGGAGATCATGGAGGCCTATCTATCATCATCAACTGCATCAACAAAAGGTGCATCGATCATCGATCTTGGCACGGCTGAAGACCCTCTGCAACAATTCAATCGCGACACTTCCCCTCAGAAAACCAAGTACCAGTACCTTCTCAGACTTAATTAAGTGGGCGCCTACTTCTCCTAGAGGAGGAGCGGGCTAAGAAAAGGAAAAAGAAGTAGTGAACCATTGAGACACCGCCACGCTCTCCACCGAGGCACCACCCTCTCTCTGGATCCGGCTGGATGTGCGCGTAGTAGTGCCTGGAAGAGGATGAACCCCCAAACGGACAAACATGGGCGACGTTCAAAACCCATCGTTGGTTTACACCGGGCTCTTCTTTCGCAAGTTCCCTTCGCAGGACTTGCGTTTTGGCTCCGGCACGCTGCATTCTGTGCCAAAAACACCTTTCGCAAACTTTCGCGGACCGAAATGATGTCGCAATTGAGGCTATGTTGCAAGCGCTCCAAAAGCATTCGCAAGCTTTCGCACATGAAAAGTTCGTGACATCTTTCGCGACTGCATGCTTGCCTTTCGCGAAGGCATCTTTCATTATCCTCTCTTCAAATTCTTAGGTGGGAAGTTTGGACCGCTGAGTTGACTTCACCCAAGATGGTCTTTCACTGTCTTCAGCCATCTGGGCGGCCACGGCCCACTGTTGACATCCCCATTGTGGACCACCACCGCGAAGAGGTCGTATTTGCCTCAGGCGCTCAGAGATTTGCACACATCACTGCGCTCAGACTGTGCAGTCCTTCGAGCTGATGTCAGAGCCAAACATGTCCAACAGAATCAGTCCAAACCATGCGTAATAGTCAGGAAATAGTTTCTGTCCTCAAAGAACAAATCAAGAAGCAAATCCAGTCAAAGTCACCCTACCCATCCCCACCCAGCTATCTCAACCGCAGCTAAATTGTTTAGAAAGACCGAGGCCGCGACCTCCCTCGGGTGCAAATTGGCTCAAGTCCAGCTTCCGTGGGAATTCGAAGCGTGAGTTCAACTTCACCTGAATCGAGTTCAACTTCGCCAGGCCAAAAGACTTCAAGTCATGAAACGAAGCCTTATGGGTTTGATGAGGTTTTCGCTTCGTCTCTTACGATTTTTGGGCCAATCCAGGATTAGGTGGTGTGTTGTCTGCGCGAGACCCCTGCCGATTCACCCTCACGAGACTTCCTCAAAAAAACCCTTCTTAACCCTGAACCCTAACCACCTGCAAGAGGTCCCAAACCATTGAGTTGAATAATGAGCCAATGGCTGTCCGTGCAACAAAGTAAAAGAACTTCAAACCGTCGCTCATCACCGGTCGGGCGGTTTTCACAAGGGTCCAGGGTTGTGGCTCCTGCCAGGATCCTGTCAAATAAAAGGATCCTGGCAGGAGCCACAATGACTCAATCAAATAGTTCTCGGCCAAAGCACCATGTCCATCTTTTCCAGGTCAAAGTGAAAGCGCTTCAGCTGCAAATTCAGCACGGGCGGAAACCTGCTGGAGCCAAGGAGATGAGAGGGGTGATGAGCGTGAGCGGAGCTGGAAGAGATGAACACAGTAAGAACAATTGGACAACAACTCCATTAATTCTGAATACCTATCAAAGGTTCTTCGACATCATCCTCATCTATATACAGATTTATGTAGAATATGACATGTATTATCTGTGTGTGTGCGCCAACATGCTCTTTCAGGGTTCATATGGGTTCATCACATTCTACACCGTCTGAATGGTCACAAATGGATCATCTGAAAAGTCCCGCCCGCCTTAAAAATCGGATTCCTTTCCTCAGTTCGCCGGTCTTCGCCGCTGTGTCTAAGCCGTCTCTCACGTCCAACTCTCACGTCTGTCTCGACGCTTGGATCTCTGATCTCTCTGACCTCCGGGGTCGATGCCCGCCCCGGAAGAGACTGACCGAGGTCAAGCGAGTCGCTCCACCCGTCCAGCGCGTCCGACCGTCCCATCCCGAGGTCCGGCCAAGCTTCTTGGCTCTCTGCTTGCCATGGCCCTCTGCCTCAGAAGCGAGCCCAGCGGCTCAGAGCTCGCTCCCGCGGTCGCGGCGCGGAGCCGACGCCGCGACAGGAAGATCAGAGCTTTCAGCGGACACCATACGATTGACACCCGTGAATCCCTCCAGTTGGGAGATGGTGCTTGCACTTCTTGCTTCGGTCAAGGGCACTGATGGGCGTTGATGCAGGTCTCCAGTTTCCTATCCCACCTCCTCCCTGTGAGACCCAATCGTCTCTTCGCAGATTTGGGGGGGGCTCTCCGTGCTCACCCTAGCCGGATGAGTCGACTGGTCTTGACTTCCTCCACACCGTTGAACTGGGAGGTCTCCCCATTTGAATGCACACCATATGCTGGATTCCTGAAGGATATATGCTGTAATTAGTCACCACATGCCAACCAATCTCCATCTCTCCATCTCCCAGGCCTCATAGGCATTGTCTCCTTCTAGGGTCTCCTGCTCGCGGGCACTGCTCGGTCTGCGCCAAGGGGGAAGGAAAGCGGTTTGATCACTCGCTCTGCTTCGTTCGCCGACTCGTCCCGGTGTCCTCAGCGGTGAAGTCATGGAGTGACTCGACAATGGTCTGCAGCTCCTGGGATCGAAAACCAAGCGGATCTTTAAAAGAACCATATGAGCAGATCTACATCCTCACCCTAGCGGCCCTAGCTCTTCTTCACATCAACCTCACCATTTAAAGTAGACACTCATTTTGACCCCACCTCATATAAAACAATGGCCTGTGAAGGTCCAATGATCTACTTTTGGTCTATATCCATATCCACCAAAACATACCAAAACCTATTGGTCCTTTCATGTCCTTTCCTATCTGTCAGCCAGCTGAGATCTATGTATCTTCCAGAGCCGTCAGCGGAATATCAAACACATTCAAATACATGTGTGGTCCATGGCAAGTTTGTTGTTTGGGTAAAATGACAAATCGGGACATCCCCCTAGACTTCTTGCCACTCCATAGATCTTCTTGCCACTGAACTTCAGCACCTCTTTGATTTTCGTTGGCACCAACTCAAGGCCATCAGGATGTCTCTTCAGGATGTGATGTCTCTTCATCATCTTCATCTCAGCCACTCAAAAAACATTGAAAAACTGCCAGCTCTTTGAGGTTGGTCTTGAGACACTGGTTGGTGAGGTTGTGTTGTTCCATGTTGTTCCTAAGGGCATCACCCCAGCGACTCTGGGAATAGTGGTGAGGGTCTCACGTGCACATCGAGTGACCAGGACCGAGTGGGCCATAGAAACTCTCGTGACCATCAAGTGGAGATTCCACATGTCCATGAACAATTAGCCTGAATACCACTGGCCCAGAGGCAGAACTGTGTGACCACCTAAGTGACCAAGTGGCAGAAACACTTGTAGAAGTTTCAACATTCTTCAACGATTCAACTACCATGTGCCCCCATGACACAAAACCCAGCTTCCAGTTACTACCTGGACAGCTTGCCAACCAACGCTGTGCCGTGACTTGCACCGAGATCTCGGCGCCGTGGACCACCGCGGCTCCTGCCCTCGCTCGCTCTTGATGTTGAGCTGGATGTCGTAGAAGGTCTCATTCCGCCGGGACCTGAGACGAAGACGGAGACCAAGGTGAAGCCGTCTCAGGAGTGAAAAGCTGGATGTTCTCACCAAAGGAAAATCTGATCACCAACATAAAACCTTTCGACTGCCGGCCTCACCTGTGTCACGTGCCATAAGCAAAGAATTCAGATCGTGCAAGCTGTGTGCATGGCGTCATCGTCGCTAGCCAAGAATTCACCCCCCCAAAAAACTTCCCATGCACTTTGGACAGCGAAGGTAGCGACAACTGCAGTTCCGCATCGTTCACATCAGTTCCGCCCCAAGTGTGATCTTCGAGCGTTCCCAATTCGTCGAGCCCTACGCACCCGGTGTCTCCCAATGGTCGCACACGGTCCATCTGGACTCGGACCTCTTCCGGGAGTGGTGTATGCATAAACGTACTGTACCGTTCGCAATCATTTCAATTGACTTGCAACGAGGGGGGGAAGGATAGAAAAGAGATGAAAAGAGTCTGGTGGTGGCCTGTGGCCATCTGTGGGCAAGGTGTGGGCACGTGTGCACCTTCACCACCAAGTGAAAACAGGTCCGTTGCATCCAGTCCACTTCTGACATGTCCACAGCTTCTGACTTCACATCCTCACGCGAATAAATACTCCAAATCTTAAGCTGCCCCACGAGTAATCCACATCGATGCACTCGATGTAGTTTTCCATCTCGCCTGTGTTTGGCCAATGGCTGTTTTCGATCATAAGGAGGAGACCGATCGAGACCCCCGAACCAGGCTTGGTTGACTGGCTCTGGTGGCTTGTGCTTCTTCCGGCCGAACTGGGCGAGGCATGTTTTACACCAATAGAGCAGCATGATCACTGCTTGGTTTGGGGGGTCGTTGAGAGGATTGCCTGCGGCATGCAGGACTTCGGACTCCACCATAAGATCCAAAGCCTGAATCAGGGATTGCAAGAAGTCACTTCTCGGAGCCAAACAACTATATTGCATGTTGTGGTGAACCCGGTGAACCCAGCTCTTCCCCAATGTCCAACCTGAATTTTGTTGGTCTTAGTACACTGCCAGCCATGATTGGTATTTCCAGGCAAGATCTTCCTAACTTCTGCTGACCAGGAAGGTGCCATGGGCTACTCCAGGGCGAGCCTCTGAGCCTCAAAACAACGCCCAAACGGCTCAGCCGAACCGCTCAGCCGCACCTTCGAAGAGCCTCTTGATGGACCCATCGGAAGGTGTATTCTTCATGCGCTCCTCGCAGTGGAACCCTGGAACCCTGGCTTTGTGAACAAAAGGATTAAGGATCAACATGCAAACAAGGTGAAGGATAAGGATAAGGATCAACCCAGGATAAGGATAAGGATTGCAAAATTCATGGTGATCAGCATGCGTGGTGATGGAGGTGCGTTCGTGTCCAACAACCGATGATTGAGATCCAAAATATGCTCTTCAGGAAGAAGGATGTGGATACGAAACTCACTTGCAATCATGCAAATCCCCAAAGTTCCTGGCAATGGTTGGCTTATTGTTCAGCACTTAAATAGCAAACTAGCGAGTTATACAACATCATGTATAACATTGTATAACAAGCGAGAGTTGCATAGCAAACCAGCGACTTATCTCTCTCTCTCTCTCGCCTCCAGCCGGTCGCAAAGAATCCGATTCAGCTCCTGAAGGCGTCGAACGCCGCCAGGGACGAGGGAAACCATGAGACCCATCGAAGTCTGTAAAAGGATCCTTAAATGCTCTCATTCTTGTAGCACCGCATAATATCAAGGAGCTCTCTAAAAATATACCAATCCTGGATCATATATTATATTATTATATAATACTAGTTATAATACTATATACATACATCATGTATACATGCAATAGTGCATAATATCATCTATCGTCATCAAGCAGTTCAAAATGAACATCATATCAAATCTCATGGCAACACTCGGAAGTCTGCAGGAGCTGCCTGTGCATCGTGCTGAGTGAAGGCATCCGTGGTGTCCCAGCCAAAAGACCTCGTCCGAACGGCAGATGTCGTGGTGTCGTGTCACATGTGCCGCAGCTCCCAATCATCGGTGAGGAAAAAGAGAAAAAACATCGAGGAAACACATGCTGCCTTCAAACATCCTTTCAAACATGGCAGGTCTTCTTTGTTCCCGAAGCAACAACGCACCGGAGCCGGAGCCCGTGGACTCTCGACCGGTCTTCGCCGGTGTTTCTCCGAGGCACTTCATGAGTTCCCGGCAGTTCACGGCCTGACGTTGGAGGCCATCGCGGTTCGTCGGCTGGAGGCCACTACTAGTAGCAAGAAGCTCGCTTTGGAGGCCACTCCGTGGTCTTTTTGGCGCTTTTTAGGGGTTCAAGTTCAAGAGGTTGTCCTGGCTGGTCTCAAGGGCGGCATACATATGGATCCTTTATAATCCTTTCCTTGAAATAGACCTTTCCTTGAAATAGAGCTTAAATGTCCCAAACCAGGTCAAACCCTGGAAGTTCGACATCATCGCTGTTCTGGGCAAGTTGTGAGATAAGATATGATGATATGACCCTGTGATGGTGACGCTTTTCGGACCCAAATCATCCTCTGAAGCCTCTGGAAGCAAAAGTCACAGCAATGCGGACATGTCAAAACTACTTAGAGGCCTTGGCCGGCCTTAGCTTATCAAGATCATCATTATTCCATCACCAAAGTGGATGACATGACCCTTCAGCCATCCTCCAACATCACCCCCAAGATCAATGCTTCAACCTTGAGAAGGGCACACAGATTAGATTAAATATATAGAATCTAGAAGGATTCAAAAGGTATGACGTCTTGGAGAACCCAAGTCTTCAATCCCACGATCCTCTTCGACCACCGACCATTGGTCTCTGTATGTCGAGTTCGAACCTTTTTGATGTTTCATGGATTCGACTGCCGCTGCCGCTGCCTGGTCGGAGGTCTGAAGCTTGTAGAAGACGTTTTGCAACGCCTAAGATGTCAGTCACGTGGTCTCTGATCGCGGTGAGTCACGTCCGTCTTTTCGGGAAGACCCAACGATAAACAGAAATCTGAGGTGTATATATATAGGTATATCATGGTAACCCAATAGATGTAGTTGGCACTTGGACATGGTGAACCAGTCCATTTGCTACACTCACTCTGACTCACTAAAAATTGGAAGTGGATGGCATGATTATGATCCCTTGGAAGACGACTGTCCTTTACGAACAGGGGGGGGCCATCCACTTCCCTAAGTGCTGGGGGTCAGCGGGTCCAAATCACCATCACCAGCATCTCCCGATGTGGATCACGCGGTTCCAAAAAGGTTGTCAATGAAACCATCCGAAAACACTCTGAGGCCTTTTGAGGCCTTTGGCCCGATGATTCTCAGATTGCAGGGCAAACACAGAAACCAAGGAGAAGGATCTCCGACACGGTGACAAAACCCAGCACACGCTTGGCATTGCTTAGCCCATTGGTGCCCCATCCACCACCCAAATCTCCACAAGCTCCCTGAATAGCGCTCCTGAATCAGCTGTGGAGGCTTCCCTTCGTCATCCTCATGACCATCCTCCTGCACAGAACCGGTGTTCACCGAACGAGCCCAGCGATCCCCGCCACGGTCGGCTTCTCCCGCCACGGTCGGACCTGGCTCTCCTCGTCGGTCGACCGGTCGGACGGAGGAGCCGGGCCTGGCTCTCCTCGTCTCCTTCAATCGAATACACGATCCTGAGAGCACCAGGCGCCCCAAAGAAGTTGAGATCAGAAAGAGGTTGAGATCGGTTAGTTTAACAGAAACAAACTGCCAGTCATCTCTCATGGGACATATGTGGCACACATGAATCACGGAATATTCATGACTCCTATTGAGCACAAGAACAAAGGTGATCCACTGAAAGTACCGTAGATGTGTCCTCCAAAGTAATTATATATATATATACAAAGGCCAAGCTGCGACCAAACTTATACAACCAAAACCTTTCGCAAGTCTGAAAACATAAGAAAATGACTCGCTTAGTGAAAAAACATGTTCCAAAACCATTCTCATCATCGCTTTGTCCCAAACACGCACTGAGACACGCACCGTCTGAAGTCACCCACATGAAACCTCGTCAACTGTCCCAGCGTGGCCCAGCTACGTAGCTCACGTAGCATGTGCTACGGCCATGGGAGGCCACAACAAATCAACACGGACAGGTTGAGGTCAAGACCCTCATATTGGATGACATGGACAGGCCCCAGTGTTTCAGCAGCTTGACATCTGACATGTCCCACATGTTCCCTGTAGCTGGCAGTAACTGGAGCAAATCACTTTGACCCGCTGTGGCTACCAACAATAACCTGCTCAAGGCCGAAAGCTTCGGGGGGCCGACTGAGACAAGGGGCCGGCGAAATGAGTCCGGAGGAAACAAATCAACCCCATATATATATATAAATCCATATAATGTAGAGTATATATTGAGTATATCACTGGTGAATGTCTGATCATGTCTGAAAATGTCAAGGTTTTCTAAGAGAGTGGACTGCTGTCCAAAAGCACACTGGACTTGATGTCATGTCATGCCAGTACATCGGACGCGTTATACGATCCCTCAAAATCCGCGGCTTGGAGACGGAGAGCATACTCGATCCTATTCACTACCCCAGCTCCGAAGAACGAGCACTGTGCGATCAACAAGCGTCCCGGGTTCAGGTGCCCCGACAGGCTCTGAAGCAAACCGTTCATGTAACCTGCAAACAGCAGCGTAGTGGCAAACTGCTGAGGATATTGCTGCGGATTTACCGTCCAACGTGACGTTTGCGACGTGTCACATTGTCATGACAATGACCAATCACAACGGGCAAAGCCGCCCAGTGGAGCCAACCTCACCAACAATGACCCACGCAGCAACACCACGTTCACGCCCGTGTCCACGAGAGACGGGCACGCGCTCTCGGTTGGCGCCAAGAAACAGGTGGCGCCGTGATTCTTCAGGCCAGTGAAGCCCGTCTCCTGAGTGCCCAAACGGCGGTTCAAAGGGCCCAAAAGAAGGCCCCCGGTCAACCGCTGCGATCAGCTGCGGTTCCGTGTTCTTTTTCTTTTCCGAAGACGGCCCAGGTTGAGGTTGGAAGATGTTGGTAGCTGGTAGGAACAGAACCTCTCCGAAATAGATGAGGTCTCTTAATCGCTTAATACGACTGTTGCAGTGACTATGACTATGAAACAAGCATCATGTCCAATGCTCGGATGCTTTGCAGATTCCAAACTTCACCAAGCAAGTCCTTCTTGCAGTTGTACTCATTGGAGAGATTCAACTGATCTGCCGACCGCACGTAACCTCACTCTCGCTTCGACGACACGTGGTTTTCGGCCCGGCAAGGCAAAACCCCGGCAGAACAGAACAGGAGTGTAGAAAACACGTGGGAAAACATCAGTTGGTGATACCAGTAGTTGGTGACAGTGGAAAAGCATCAGTTGGATTCAGTTGGTGATAATTGGTGCCCAGTGGGGATTTCTTCACCTACTTCTCTCCAAGTACGAAGCGCAGTCCAGACGATTCCAAAGCTATAGGCTATAGTATTCAATTGTTGGGCGGAACATGGCGGAACCAGAAGTTTGACCTCAACGATTCTCCATGAGAGAAGATCTGCTGCTTCAACAAACTGAGTTCATCAGGTCGTTCCTTAAGAGAAAAAGCAAGCACAATCCAATGGTCGTCGTGGTATGTCATGGCATCCAGTTTCCAACCCAAAACTGACCACCAAACCATTGCCCTCTTCCAAAAACGGGGGCTTTGATGACATCCTTGCGGCATCACCATCCTGGAGAGGAGAGGCTGCGGAGCTGGACTGACGATTTTACACGCCTTTTGGATCCTTTTGGTGTCCAAAAAAGATCTGCCCCATGTGTCCAGCTACTCTCTGAGCCTCGCACATGAGGCACGAAAGTACAAGGTGCACTCAGGGCCAACCCTGGCGCACCGACGTGGCGACGTCCAACGGAATCGAGAGAGGTATGGAATAGCAAGTAATTACTTGGAATGCAGTTGCCATGGTAGGAGGGGTTCTGCCATGGGGCCACTGTAGTTGTGTGTGTATCCCAACAACCCTCAAAACTATAGAGAAAGTAGACCTGATCGTACCATTTGGCGAGCAACCTTTCACCTAAACTTTCTTCGTGAACAAAAAGCTGGTACTGGCTGTGACATCCTCTCCCTCCCCATCACCTCCCCTCACATTCAGCTCAGCCAAAGCTCACAATGTCTCAGGTCCAAATTGAAAGCTAACTACTTGCTGCCAAAACAAGAAGTGGTCCTCACAAGATTGTTCTTCAAACATTGTAGACCTCTAAGCCAAAAATAACCTCAAAAGACCTTGAACCCCACAACACCGAACCAAAATGATATGGATTTGGATGGTTTGGGGTACTCCACTGCACCATGGATCCCAAACATAAGCCTCAAGCCTAGTACCACGACCGTCGCCAGGTCCTGCGTGGCCCAAAAACCGCCACTCGCCCTGGCGGCGCTCGCCACACTCCACACGCCCTCGGGCCATCCAGTCTCTGGAACCAGCTCTGAAACACGGACCTCGGAACCGCGAAGGTTCATTGGCTGAGGATGATTGAGGAGTTTCGATCGGACGCGGAAAAAGGAACACTCTGATAGATGATGTCTTTGTTTGGTCGCAAGGAGAGCTTTAGTTACGACCCCCGGACCACCCCCAACAACCGGGGTCTCCCCCTCACCCTTGGGTCCCAGAGCCATATCGTGCCAACCACGGTCGATTCCATCTTTGGAGAAAGACCAGGTATCGGTCTGCGAGCGGCGCAGACCGATGGCGCTGGCATTGGTGAGGTGAGTGGGACGGTCGTCCAAGGTGTGCCCAACGGCTTTCTCCAACGGCTGAAGTTGTATTTGACTCTGTGTTTGGAGCACATGTTCCATGTTCTCCATGTTCCACCTCCGTGACACTAGCTTTTGAACTTGACAGAGCTTACGAAGACTTGCAACAAAAAACAAACAGTTCACAGAGCCACAACATGCCACAACCACCACTTCAGCACCAGCGGAGGCCTTGGTGACGCTATTCCGGTAGTTCAACCAATTCACCAACGTGATCTGATACTTCACTGCATGGAAGCACCACCTGCCGTGGGTCCACACCATCACTTTCAAATGAAAGGACATCGAGGAAGCAGCTGGTCCCGCCAGTTACCGCTACACACGGCCAGAACGTGGATCTCTCAACAGGGGCCAACTGTTGTCCAAACATATATCCAACCTGGAATTCACACAAGTTCCGCGTGTGAATGGATGTCCCAAGTTGTCCTAAACCAAAGGACGGGGAAGGAAACATGTGCGGCTGAAGCATCTTCTGTGAAGTCGACTGTTGGCCACGTCATATGCGACGTTTAAAAGACAAAAAGCAAAGCACCTCGGATCGAGCCCTTCCAACGGAAAGGCTTCAACAAAGGCCGAGACCTAAGCTGAAGCTGCCAGGTCCAAGCAGGCAGATGGTAAGGATCTTGGTTGTTCTGAGGTTTCAGAACATGGCAGAACATCTAATTTGATGGGGATGTGATTAATTGTTTACCGATGTTTACCGTAATACCTAAAGATCCTAAAGACTCTTAAAAGGAGAATCCCCAACCAGTGCTTTAATTATGATACTTTCTTTATCCAGGTCTTTCGTGGGGCCTCCCTATGTTAAAGACTCACATGCGACAACAAGACAAAGACAGTGAACTGATTCAAAAGTGCACAGGAAATGGAACCAACAACTAGTCGCAATATCGTGTCAATCAAAATACAAAAGAAATATATCTTATATGTATATGACAAACACCATTCAAGACACCCAACACCTAAGCTTCACGACCTGTTGCCCTCCAGTCGTTTGCGTGCCGCCAGGAAATATCAACAACCTGGCGCGGAATCGGCTGCGATGCGGTGAAGGGGAACGCTTCGACTCTAAAAAGGGTCGAAAGCGTCGCAGATCTTCCATCAGAACCCGGCCATGGATTGCGTCCAAGTTCTTTTGACCAAGTGTTAAGTGTGGGATTGGATTGTAGTGTTTTTCCCCTGTTGACCCTCCATTTCCGTTACCGCTACATATGTGGGTGTGGCCAGAAACCCTGGTATGGATCGTTCCGCGCTGCAGTGAGAGTGATCCAAACCCTATGGATCAGAGCGCTGATCCAAGCCCTATGGATCAAACCGACAAGTCACTTGATCCAAGCCCCCGACATGAACACATCTGCATGGTGGCACTTCACCCACCACTTTCTCACCAATTCACTGTGAACTGTGCAGGTGGTGGCTTCCCAGATCAAAGCCATCCTGTTTGTGGCAAGCCTGTTTTGAAGTTCTGGCCGCTGTGAATTTGGGCTCCACTGTCCACATATTGGGCATGGTTTGGCACTGAGCGGCGGCAATGAGTGTTGGGGCACATTCTTCCTCCAACTCAAGCACAGGATGCAAGAAGCCCAAAAAGGCCATCAGCTGGCCACGCATATTGGTGACTCAGTGGGCTCTCAAGACATTTAACAGGCGGTGGCTTCAGCTCTAGATTAGAGGCTCACTCCGAGTACTGGTTAGTGGCTGCCGCTAATTCTGTTTGGCTTTAATATTGTGTTCTAGCACCTTCTTTAATATGGGCTATTTGGGTTGGATTCTCCACTCACAGGGTTTCATAGCCTAATGGTAAAAGCGTCGGTTTCCAATTCTTCACTTCCACAGTGTGAAGGTTTGAGTCCACGCTGTAATCACACTTAGTGGCTTCCGCTAATTAATTTTTGGCTGGAATGGGAAATCAATTTGAAGTTGAGTCTAGTGGCTTCCGCTAAATCTGTGGTGGTGGTAATGCTGGTGATAGTGGTGAGTAGCAGTGGCAGCAGCAGTAAAGCTGTTGCAGGCAAGTGCAGTGGCAGTAGCAGAAGGAGTTGTGGCCGCAGAGGTGGTTGTAGTAGTGGTGGTTCGAGTCCCGGCTGTGACCACACTTAGTGGCTTCCGGTAATTAATTTTGGCTGGAATGGGAAGCCAATTTGAAGCTGAGTCTAGTGGCTTCCGCTAAATCTGTGGCGGTGGTAATACTGGTGATAGTAGTGAGTAGCAGTAGCAGCAGCAGTAAAGCTGTTGCAGTAGTAGCAGCAGGTGGCAAGTGCAGTGGCAGTAGCAGAAGGAGTGGTGGCAGGAGAGGTGGTTGTAGTAGTGGTGGTGGTGGTTGTGTGATCCAAGGGCTTGGATCACACACCCACCTTTTGATCCATACCCCATGGATCGAGGTATGGATCGTGTGTGGGTTTGGGTGTGTGATCCAAGCCTTATGTTTCTGGCCGTAGCCATGTGAATAACTTGAAAAAAAAACACGACGTCACACTAAGCACCAGTCGGCACGGCACGTTCCGTTGCGAACGATGCCGCCTGAAGCGGAAGTTGCCAACGGTCTTGGGCTCCGATCTCACCTCATCGTTCGGCAGGGCGACCGAGGTGGGAAGAAGGTGGGAAAGGGGGTGCTCCTTTTCAGTGGGAAGGAGGAACTGATCCAGGTCATTCTATTGTAACAGGTCAGTTGAATTTGAAATAATCCTTTAAGGCTAGTAACATTGAATTGGGATGCATGTTCTTCCTTCCAGCTTGGAAACCACCGAACAGGGAAGACCTGAGATAGGCCCCCCAGCGACCCCTTTGGTGGGGTGGCCCCAAGCGACCCCAAGCGAAACCGATGTGAAACCCCACGGTCTGAGTCGCAGGCCGAATTGGTATAGGAGTACTTGTTCGCGTCCTCGAGGCCGGCTTCGGAGCCCCGACCACGAGACGGAAGGGCCAGGGGCCCGGGGGCAAGAACGCCTAAGCACGGGCAAAGCCGCCTTTACCCACAATAAATAGGCAGACTGCCCAAGAAGAGGTTATAGGATGTTATAGGTACCAGTATATTATTCTTCCAGATTCTTCCTGTCGCAGTTGAAGGGGCGCTTTGATCCTTGGACCAAACGTTTTGGGCCGAACGTGGCCGACGTGTCCAACATGTTGTGCCTTCGTCCCCTACAGAACACACAGAACGCGCTACTCTGAGCCTTTTGATCTCTCCCGCTCAAGTTAAACAGGTTGGAGAATAATTACCGGGGTGCCACCCAAACTCTGGGCTGCAGGGAGTGTGGCAAACACAAAGAAAGGACCTGTGCAACGGACCTTGATGTAAAACTCCAGCTCATTCTCCATGAGTGGCGGCCTTATTGCCCAGAAGAACCCAAATTGTGAGTGACCCCAACCCCAAGACGCTTCGTCACAGTATCAACAGCAGTTCAAGCGCCAGACATAATTCAGTATAGGAATTTAGAAGGAAACCTCTTCAAGATTGTGAAGGTCTGGGATCTCTCAGGGCCATTGCCGAAAGAGCTATCATCAAACACAAACTATAAACAAATTTTGAAATTTCCGGCGAGGCGCACTATCAACGATAACAACGACCGTTGTTCCACTCAACAAGTTAAACTCACCTGTATTGAACAAGTTCACACGAACACGGGCAAAATGTCTTCACACATATTAGCCAAAAAACACTTCGGTGGTCAAGTGTCCCTCAATGGGTGTGGGATGGACATATCATGAATTTGGACACTGTCCAACCTGAGGTCGCAAACAACCCGAACCGAGTTCCTGGCAAGTTCTCTTTGACGAACTCGTCCCCCATGAAGACCTTCCCACGGTTGGGAGTTAGATGATGTTGGACGTTCACGGTTCCCCACGTGTTTTCCCACCCGAAACGGGGCGATGAACCCCACCGACCCGGCGCGGGAAACATGCCAGCCGTCACCCTCCGCTCACGCGGTTCACGCGGCTCACGCGGCTCGAGCCGCTCACGAGGCTCACGCGGCTCACGCTCACCCTGCGGTCGCAGTCCGGCCGGAAGCGCTCACGTCATGCATTTGATGAGACGCACACCCCAGGATCACCCCAGGTATCCAAAGACACCAAGTCACCACCATGTAAGTATATGACATGAGCTCTGGGAAGGCCATCCAAAGGCTTCAACTTCAAGCCAATCTGATCCCAGTGCAGGACAAAATGATGGAACGAGCAGGCCTGACTGGCCCTGGTCCGCTGTGTGTTGCAGATTGCACATGAGAAAATCCACATGGAAAAAAACTGGCAAAAGGATTAGATCACGGAAAGGAACGATCAGCTGGTTTCACTCACAGACCCTTCTCAAGCAGCTGGCCTCATGGTCGTAGCGGCGGTCATTCGCCCGGTAGTACGGGTCCAAGGGCACAGGCCGCGCTTGTGGGGCCTGAAAGCATCATGCGCTTACGGTCCGGGGGCAGGTATGCCTTGGGCACATGCCTTGGGAAGTCAGAGAGACGACCCCACTCCCACATCGGTAAACATCGTCACCCCGGAAGTGAGGAGTGGGGAAGACTTCCCGTCCATATGGATTGCTGTGGTATGGACTTCCCGTCCATAGACATGGCTAGTAGAAACAAGTGCCACGCTACTAGTAACAGGTGCGTTACTAGTAGTAACAAGAAGCTACTAGTAACAAGTGCATTGCTACTAGTAACAGGTGCCTTACTAGTATTAGTAACAAGTGCATCGCTACTAGTAACAGGTGCCTTACTACTACTAGGAACAAGTGCATTGCTACTAGTAACAGGTGCCTTACTAGTAGTAACAAGTGCATTGCTACTAGTAGCAAGAAGCTAGTAGGTCTTGGACCACGGTCTTAGAAGCCATGGCTCCACTCCACTCTCTGCTCCACTCCGCTCAGCAAGCGCCAGATTCACACAACCACACAACACGGCCAACACACGGCCACACAACCACACAACCAACAACACAGCCACAAACACACAACCACACAACCACAAACACACAACCACAAACACACAGCCACAAACACAAAACCACAGCACACACCACAACACAACACTACAGCAATATAATTGCTGCTAATTACCTGCAGGTGTGGCATTTTGCGTGGCAGGTGGTCACAGGGTCGCACTTTTGGATGCCAACTGGAGACCCTGGCGACACCCCGACGCGAACTCCCCAAGACCAACACAACCCACAAAATCGAGAATCACAAAACCCCCGACCATGGCAACATGTTCCTCACCATGGCATGAATACAAACGGTTGAAATGTGGGGATCACTCGAAGCAAAGCAATTAAGAAATGAATCAAAGATGAGGGCAACGGGGGGCTTAAAAGAAAAAGGAAACACACAAACTGAACGTTTCGGCCCTTCTGCGGATTTCACGCCGCGTTCACGCGCCTGGCGAGCCTGCCGATGAAGGCCCACGGGTGGTGGGAAATGCACCTGTGGAAGACACGTGCGAGGTGAATCACACTCTGACGAACACCTCACATGAAGACCATGGGCGGGGGGGGGTTCTGTGAAGACCATGGTCCGAATACATGTCCATGTGATTCAGTCGGAGTGTAGATTGACCCTCAAAGCCTCAGAAATCAACCATCCTATCCATGCAGGCAAATATTCCATACATCGACTGCCTCGTTACAAATCTACAAAAAATAGTCAGGCAAAATGTGTTTTCCCTTCAGTTGGGGCGTGTCCAGCTGTTGGATGATTCACCAAAGGAGGCATTTAGGCGGCTGAGGACCTTGCCTGAGACTCGGGGACGGGGCCCAATTGAGCCTGGCTGCAAGTGATCTCCACCGGCAACTCCCATCACGAGCTGAGTTGAAGAGTCTTTTATCGTCTCCTCAATTGTCTATAACCACTCTCCATCAAAAAGGATGGTGAAATCCTTTTTACAGCTCTGCCAGCAACATGATTCAACCTCGCACCACTTCACCACTTCAATACCCACCCCATATCCCAAAAGAAATGGCTGGAGTGACCCCCAGCTCTGTGTCAGACGAGTCATAGGCGTCCGAGGGGACGTTGCGGAGGTCCGAGCGACGCTCCTCGTAGCGGTCGCCTCAGCGACGGTGGGCCACGGCATGAGCGACGCATCTACGACCCTCCAAAAGGTGTCTAGTCATATGGAGGGTGTCAGCAACCTGGATCTAACCCACCTCTCATCATAGTCTATAGTTAGATAAAGTTAGTCTAGCCTTTTGAGAGGTGATTCGGGGTGTCCCAAAGCCGGAAGGTAGTAGAAGTGGATCCAGTGTAGGATCCCGGTCTTCAGGTACCGTACGGTATTTCGGTGCCTCCTTTGAAGGGTCGAACGGAGGCTCAGGTCGAACCAACAGTAGGACTTCCGAGCTACACGGATGGTCCTGGACCCTGAGGCCTGATAAGGGTTCCTTGGATAGCTCACTGATCGTTCCAGGCTCGTCCAGGTCGTTCCATTGATGCGGGACGTCAAACTCGCCGACTAAGGTTTGCCGTAAGTCAAACTGCCAAGTGGTGGTCATCTATACAACCTTCCAACCATATCGAATTTACATGCATACATCATCATACATCATGAAATATATCGTGATACAATCTCTATAATATAATGGTGTCCAGGACACGAATGGTCTTCACAAGAGAACACATGAAACCACCGTTCTCCACGGAACCGAAAGCCCCGCGACCGACCGACCGCGACGCTTCGACGCGAAGAAACTCGGGTCGGTCCAGCCTTGTGGAGGAACAACAGGCACCGGCGCAGCAGGGCGCACGGAAGGTACCTGGTGAATCCGACCAGAAGCCTGGACACTCCTGACCTCTAAAATCATCTAGACCACCGCAAAAAACCAAGAGCGGAGACCATCAGTTTTGGGGTCTTCCAAGGTCAGGCTTAAGTAAAAACCCAGTGAATCTAGCAAGATTCTCGATACGTTCATCTGAGTTCCCCGTCTCCCAAATCCACCAGCCTAAAACGTGTTGTGTTCTATAAGTTCATTTTTCTCTTCTTTTCCTTTGCTTCCTTTGCCTCCTGCCTCAAACACAAGAACAAGAACCACACACGTCTCCCCATCATTTCCCATCATCTCGCACAACTTGCCCCCCCAACCACCAACGAAAAAGCCAAACGTCCGCCCACCTGATCCACATTCACCAAGCGTGGAGACTCCGCATCCTCGGGCCTCAGCGCAGCACACCGCGCTGCACCCCGCGCGGACGCGGCGGGTCGGTCCGGTCGGACGCGTCGTCGGGTTCCTCTCCTGGGCCCGGGCGCGCCGTCGGGTGCCCCTCGATCGAACGTCATGGTGCCCAAGCTGGAAAAGTAGGCTACCTGCCTGGCAGGGTCAAGCAATCTGACGGTATGTGTCACTGAATGTCATTTCATGTACTGACGTATGTATCATATTAGTATACGTATACTGTATTTATACACATATTAATTACTATATATATATATATATACGTACTGTATCTATATACGGATACGTATATATATATATATTATGATGTTAGACATTTGGGCGTTTGATGTTCCCGCCAATTAGCAATATGCACCACTCAACGATCTCAAACGGGACACGTTGCCCAAAACCTCCTAGCAAAGGAAAGAGTCATCCGCAGGTGAAACGTGTGTCGTGCTGAAATCCCGCACCTTTCGAATCGGCATTGGAAAGCACATGAGTTCTGAGAGGCTCGAGCCAAAAACCAACAAAAGGACTGCTACTCACTCAGGTCTCAGGTCTCCGCTTGTACCGTCTGACAGTGGCCAGTGCTACAGCAAGGCTCCTACCGTCTGAGCTTGGGCTTAGTTGCTTGTCTGGGGCTTTGTCATCTTAAGCGAAGGCGGGACGATAAATAATGATATAAATAAAAATAAACAAATATATCCTAAATACCCATGGCATCCCATGGCCATCATGGCCCATGTCACAACCTTCCAGCCACCGTCGAAACACATGTGCAACATGTGACACATACTATGAACCATTATGAACCCCAAAGGCTTTCAATCTCCACCAGCAGCTCCACTGGCACAACCCATGGCGCTCAGCAGCTTTTGTTTCAACCCATGCCGGCCAACTTGCTGAGGATTGCCTGGCGCCGTGCCCACAGCGGATCCTCCGCGGGCCCGGGGCGATAGTAGTCGCTGTCGGAGTCCGACGCCTGGCCGGGGCAGCACAGCCGAGACGGCGTGGTGGATGGACGACAGTCAAAGCTGGCGACATCATCATCATCATCAGCAGCAGTAGCAGCAGCATCATCATCCGGTATGGTCAACTTGCTGAACAGCTTGCAATAGTTTACGACTTGCTCTGGGGCACCGAACCAAGTCATGGTGACCATCAGCATACTCCGGTGCTGGCGCCTCTGGCAGGGTATCATGGGCCCTCTGCTTCAAAGCAAGCATGGATGTGTCTGAACATATTGGGAACCACTAAAAAGCTGCAGCTGGAAACCAGCCAATGTCAAGCAATCAACCTGCATAACTGTACACCATCTGCCAAATCTATGTTGGATCACAAAAAACATACCTCTGCAAACTGCCAAACACTTACATCATCATTTGCTGTACTGGGCCAACCGGCTGCCTTACTTCGCCCACCCCATCCCACGGCCTCGAGCACCTCGCCCTCGGGCGAGGCCGCCGGGGGCGTGTCCGCCTCGCTCGCCGAACCGAGGCAGTGGAGGTGGTGGAGTGGATGAAAAACCGATGGAAACCAACGGATGCACCATGAAAAGAAACCGAAAGAATAGGTGGAACCCAATGGATGCACATGACTATGCACATGGTGCATCAATTTCTGACGTTTCTTTGGAACACACTTATGCACCACGTCTGATGCATGCCCACAATTCCCCTGTACATCACGGCGGATCTTGTCGATGCTTCGTAGGAGCTACACGGGCACATGCTGCCTCCTCGCTGGAAGCTTTCTCGCTGGGAACCTCCGCCTCCTCCTCTTCCTTCTCCTTCTCTTCCACAATCTCCTCCATGCACAAAACATTCTGAACAGAAACAGCGTGGTGCAGTGATCTCCTATTTTCATGACATGGGTGTGGACCAAAGCCCGAAGCCCGTGAAACATCGTGGTAGTCAATTCTGTTCATGTTCCACAACCAGCCACCGCCCCCGGCTTCTCGTCCGCGCAACCACCTGCACACCGAGCTCCTCCGTGACGAAGAGGGGCAAGGCCGTGGCCTGGGAACGACGCATTTGACGGATAATTACAAGCAGCACCACGGAAGGGGCAGTCCTTGGATGGAACATGCATACTCAGGAAGTGGATGTCAGGAGTGTCCATGGTCACCACCAGTCAGTGGTCCTGGACGAAGGTCTGGTGGACGAAAATGGCATGTTGAAGGCCGTCTGACGGGTCAAACATGGTCAACCCATGGTCAACCCATGTCAAACCCGTCCAAGCTGGCAAAAGATCAGATCACCTTTTTTCGCCATCCGAATCCAATCTGGCTATGTCTCAGGCAAAAATGACAAACTGTATGCTATATTATATTATACATGCCTGCCCTCTTTTGGCTATAGCTTGGCTATTGTATTAGAGGCTAAGCTGAGGGCCGGAGGCAGGCTAACCTCTTCATCCTCCGAAGATTCCACCTCCTTTGCGGCCTTTCGCAGCAGGTTGCACCAACGAGGCCAAAACTGGTGGGGCTGCCTCGCCTTTCTGAACTGGTCGCAAAACCTACCTCCCAATTTCCAAGAGGTACAGTTCACCACACCATGCTCATCTGTTGATCTGCCAAACCAGCCTCCAACTCAACTCATGCGTTTTTTCGCCATTTCGTCCGCCCCTTTCACTGGCGCCACTGCGGGCAGCTCGGTCCGGAACCCTCCACGCCTTGGGCGGACCGCCCTCGGTCGCCGTCACTGCGGGCGGAGCAGTCATCGGTCCCTGGACCGCGAGCAAGACGTCGGCAGTCTTTGGCCTGGGACTGTGCTGTCCAACCATTGGGGGGGGGGGGAGTACATCCGTGGACAAGGCTACGCCGAGTGCCAAAAGGCATCCCAACAACTCATCCCTCTGCCACATGTGAGCAGGTTTTTTTTTAAGATGTGGTGGTGTTATCATCCTGGGGTGCCTACGTAGAACCCTACGGTTTGGCTACGTTTCCACAGTCAGAGCCTACGGCAGACATGACTTATCCGACATCGCCTACGGGAAATCTACGAACGTGAGGTTTTGAAGCATTACTGTTCCAGTTTGCCTACGGTACCATGCAGTTCTTGCAAGTGGAAAGGTTTACGCAGCAGCTGACCATTTTATCTTTCAGATGATGAGCTCGAGGACGAATCAGAATTACTACTACTATCGGTGCCACTGTCGGCATGTTGCCTCAAGCGAGCAGACTGTCGACGTTTTTTGGCGGCGGATGTCTGCAAACGTAGGGCTGCCGCGGACAAGGCCTTCTCGACTTCTGAGCGGAATGGTTTCCGGACTGGTGGGGGCGCTTGCTTTTGAGCTGTATGACGGCGTACGACTTCATTGATAACCCCAGGCAGGGGCCCAGTTCCTTCCCAGGACTTTTCACTCTTCCAAAAGCCTCTTCGCCACTTTTTCGGGTCAGGCGCATCATTCTCTTCCCCAGCAATCTCTTCAATGTCACCTTCATCCTCTGCCACATCAGCAAGGCGCTTTGTTGCAATGCTCCAGCCATGCAAGTCTGCACCAGGGGAATCACTGAAGAGCTTGTTTTTCAACCGAATCCCATAAGCTCGACCTGGGCTGAAATCCATTTCTAAGCAGTATGTTCTGGTAATAAGGAATCCAGCGCAATGGAAAAAGGTGCGTGTTTCAGGTCGGAACTCACCGGGGTCGAAGGCTTCAATGTGGAACTTTGGCCCGGTAGGGTCATTGTTCACCATATATTGGGCACCAGACCTGTAGCACTGAAGCAAGTCCTTAATGCCATGTATAGGCCTGCGTTGGAGGAAGTCTTCGATCCATGCGCAACCCCATCCGAACAAGCGGTCAACTGGGCCTTTACCATGTTGTTCTCCTTGGAAGTGAACCGTCACCTAGGCGCAGCAGATTTTTTGGGAGTTGAATAGAAAAGTTTGGTGACAAGTGAGGGCGCTACATACTACTACGCAAACCTTTGCCACAGATGTTCCCTCCAAGCAGCTGCCACTTTGAGCTCTTGCGGCAGGTCGTGCAAATAGAAAGCGTAAGACTCCCGGCTGCGAAAATGAGGGCCGCAATCGCAGACAAGGTGGTCATTCTGAGTGTCCTTACAAACTGCCCCTGGTTCATGTCCCAGAGTATGAGATGAAACACATCTGCTACAAGAAACTGAGACACAAAAAGCCACTGTCAGTTCAAATAGAATCAGAAACACAAGCTGGGTGACTTCAAGGTATGCTATTTCGGTCGCCTACGGCAAATGCCTACGACAAACGTTACACAATAAAATGCCTACGACCGCCTACGTCCCCAAGCAAGTTGCCTACGCCAGCCTTTTGGAGGTTACATCTTGTACAAGCCTTTTCATATCAAAAAAAAACTCGGCTCATGTGGGAGTACCAGGTGTCGACCCGACAGCCCAAACCAACGCATCTGGTGCCTCTTTGCATCTTGGTCACGGTCAGCGAGATCGTATTGACCTGATCAGCTGGCCGAAGGCATCCGAAGGCGTCGTACCAAACGTAGCAGACCGGAAATCAGCATCTCAGATGATCTCACAAACCATCAAGTCTACAAAACCAAGTCTGTCTTTCTGTGCCAAGTCACCTCGCTTCTGGCGTTCTGCTTGCCTCTCTCGAAGCATTTGACCGGCATCGCCTCCAAACCACCTGCGGTCTTTTTCGATTCGACTAACTGACCGGCTGGCGCAGTTGACAAAGCCCACCTCGAAAAGTAGTCCACCAGCAAGGCTGGCCTCAGCATGAATGGCCACGAATGTGACCCCCAAACCATGGGGCATGCCGATGTCTCACTGTGTTTTTTCCGTCTAGCAACGACTTGGTCTATTTTGAGAATGTTCCTTAAGTAAAAACTTGTTGAAGACCATCTGTCATTTGGGTTGATCTCTGACATCTCTGTCCACCGATCCTGATCTGGCTTGGTGGCTGACGGACCATGCTTCCGCTCGTGAAGCCAGGCCTGGTTTCCGGCTGCTCGAGTCTTGACACATGGTGTTTGCTGCTCGAGGATGTAAAACACAACGGGCGGTGCAAGAATTCTTTGATCAACAGTCGTCTCATGTTGTCTCATTCCATGAGACGACATGTCACTTTCCTGGGACCCAACTCGGACATGCAACATCATGCAACATGCTCCAAATGGGATGAATGGTTTTGGGACCCCATCGAACCGGACATGCTCCAGCCTTCCGCTCGCTTTCACGCCACAGGGCCACGGCGCTGGCACCCACCGCGGCCTGGCGTCTTTCCGGACACACGTCCGGGTTCCCAGCGAGTTGGGACGGGCCGAGGACGGTGGGCCCGTTTGGTCTGGTGCCTCTTTCAAGCGGTCAGTCTTGAGGTCTGGTGATTGATTGTTGACTTTTTAGGACCGGGACCTTCACAAGGACAACGCATGTCCAGAGTGAATGCAAATTAACTTGACAGACAATGATCATCCTCCATCCACTGAGAGAAGCAACAAATCTAACACAACGCGAGGTCAGCCCATCAATTTCCCCGAATGAGTTAGCTTGATCTTGGTTGATCTTGGTTATTGGCTTTCCCCAGTCCTACTCATCCAGCTAAGCGTTTCCACCCCCCCCCGGTGTCTTTAAACAAAAAAGAAGACGCTGGAGCCACCGCGGAGCCCGAAAGCTGCACGACCACGCGCTTGGGCCGCCGGGGTCCTCGCCGAAAGAAGACGGAGGACATGTCCGAGTCGGCTGAGGACTGGAACATCAATAGATGGGCCGATATGGACCAGGACCATATATTATGAACATATACTTGTTACTTATTGTTACTATATAGTTATAGTTGTTATTATGGAGCAAAAACAACATACATGACGGAAAAGATTGGGAAAACATGTTGTAACACTGGCTTTCACTAATATTTCAATCTTGATTCTTTCGTCAAATGTGACGGTGCACAAGTGTCCGCCAATCTTCAAACTGATGCGAGCGCAGTGGGCAAGATGAAAATGCTACATGCAACCCCAAAGCATCGAAACAAGCTGACAGGAGTTGCCACCAGCTGACGACCAAATAGAGCGATCTTGATTTTGCCATATTTTACCTGATTGTTCATCCTCTAATCATGCAGCATGCTCCACGACTCCTCCATCGGATTCAGTGATCTCCCTTTTTTCAAGATACGTGGCCACTGGCCGAAGTCCCTGCACCCTGATGATTCAGCTCGTCCGTGTTCATGACCCCAAACGGATCGGACTTCTTTGGGGACCCGTTGACTCGGACGATTCGTCGTTGACTCGGCATGAATTGGCGCGTGTCCTGCGCGTGCAGTGGACCTCAACGCAGCCGGAGGATACCAACATTCCATTGGACCAAAAAAGCTCAAGTCACATAGTTGTTGTATGTGTGTGTGCAAACTGATCAAACTGGAGATTCTTTAATGATTTTAATGTGTTTCAAAAATTGTTCATCTCAGAGAAGATCCATCTGATCACCTTTCACCTCCAGACGCACGGTTCAGGACCTTAGGAATCTAGAACATTCCACCTACTCGCTGGTCTCTGCCCCTGTTACCACTGAGCCTCCCAGGCTCAGCCAATGCCAAGGCTTCTTCCAGCGTGAAGGCGCAGGGCCCCTCCCCACGCAGCCACAGCTCTACCTGCGACCGGTCGCGAGGCACACGAAACGGCCAGGCGTTTTGCGTCTGGAACTTCGCAAACCTGGGATAGACCAAAAAGTACCATGCAATTGGTAGAGTGTGTCAAAGCTTCTTTTGGGTCTCTCATCGTGGAGAAACCACGTTCTCTGATGTCCAGGGCATGTGGCCATCCTGCAAATGGATTGAATGGGAGGGCCATCCCGTGTGCTTGACCATTCTATCCAGTCATCGGCCATGTCTTTCTTCTCTCCCTCGATCCCTGGCCTGAGGGCTTTCCTGCCTGCCGTGCACGGCCAGTGTGTGTTTCTAAAAACCACCGTTGATGTCACGTTTGGCGTCTGCGTTTGGCGTCCGCACGACGCACACCGAGTTCCCCCCGGCAACAAGTGGCAAGGGGCGACCTGTGGGTCGGTGACGATCTGAGCTTCGAACGGCAAGTGCAGGAGAAGGTGGCAAATCTCCACGAGGGCACGAAGCTTCGAGGAGCAGGTCCCGGCAATCTCGAGACCTCGGGCAGCGGCGTTGGGCTTGGCCTATCAAAGGGAAGTTCCATTTTGAGCGGCCACATTGACATATTGCCCATGTGCCAGCGCCATGCGCACACGCATATATTTTTCCAGCTAGCAAAAACGGTTTTAAGATCTCCAGAACCAGGACAATTGTGCAAGTGACTTTGCACGATCGCGCTGCCGGCCGCGCTGCCGGCCGCGCTGCCGGCCGCGATGCAGGGATACTGTATTCACCCCGGTCGAACCTTTGAGGGGTCGCCGGTCGACCGAAAACAGGACCTCCAAAGACGATGTGAGTTACACCAGTCCGTTCGTCGCTTTTTTGCCATGCTCTTAACAGTTTCATGAGCCCAAAGATTCACAGATCACATCAGATCACACCACATCAAGCACGATCACCCAATTCGTCACCCAATTCTTCTTCCGGACTGAGACCCAAGCAGCTGGCACCAGCTGCTTCATCATGCTCTCCATGGACCAGAGCGGCGGCACCAGAGTCCTGATGACCGGTGCTGAGCATGGCAGAGATCTAACTGAGTCTTAAGGAAGGAACCACACGTCGTGTTGCAGGGTTATTTTTCTCCAGAGACGAGACTATAGATATAACATTGAAGAGGTGATTGCAGAATAGATGATCCTCTCTTTGGAACATTTCATGTGGTGAAAGCCGAAGTGGTGTCGGTCAGAGTTCCATGTTGCTCCCGATGCAGCATCAATCCACCAGCCAGCCAGTTCCAACTCCTCACCAGTCCAAGCTACCGGTACAATTCCAAAGGATCCGGATGTTTTCCCACACCGACCGATACCAGAATCTCCCGGAAGCTTTGAGAACATTTAGGAGAACTATGGGCCGGCCGATTCCGGTGGAGATAAACCAGATAAACCAGGTGAACACACCATGTAAGTATTCCCCCCCCCACCTTTGGACAAGCCGGTCCCTTCCTGCCACTGCCGGGTCCCTTCCTCCCCTCCTCCTTGATCTGCGCTAACACCTCCGCCGCCGGTCCGCTCAAGCGGGCCGCCAGGCCTCGAGAGGGCCGGACGCAGTCGCCGAGGGTGACGAGGGTGGCAAGTTCAGCGTATGTTTTTTGCGAAAAAACAAGGTCTCCAAGATGAAAGCAATGTGAGTTGAATCGGTTCGTATTCAGATGTATTCAGCCAAAACTTCAACTAATTAGTACACATTGCATCACATTGCTATAGACTATAGACCGCTTAACTACCAGCATGACCTGAACACTGGCTTTTCTGGCCATCTTCGCTTCCGACACCTTTCCACCCCACCCCGCTCACCCGTTAGCTCTTTGGATCTGTGCATCCCGCCAGCGTCGAGGCGCAGGAAGACGTTCTCCGTGGAGACGAAGTTCTTGAGCTCGGGAACCTCCTCACCGCTGGAGCGCGGGCGCGGGCGGCGGGGCACGAACAGTCGACCGTTGAAACTGGAACAAGAAAGGTCCTTGGTCCCTTTGGTCAAGCACATTTTCCCTGAGCGTTGGACCAAATGATACTGTAAGTGAACTTCTTTTCCTTACCATAACTGTTCCGTATATGTGCTCTTCATTGCCAAACAGCGTCGAAAACTGCCAGCAAATGTCCAGCAGGGAAAAATGCTCCTCCGATGTCCTCCGGCTTTATTACTGTTACTAGTAGTAAGGCCATGAGCCCCTAGTAGTGTCCTGCTCCTAGTAGCGATGCCCTTTGCTCCTAATAGCATCATTGTGAGAACACGTCCAGAGAGTTTTCGCTCACTCTGTCCTCTTCCAACTTTACCGCTGGAAGTTCCGTGATGTTCGCCGCTTTCCAACGCCCAAAGCGACGTAACCTCCACAAGGGTACCAACCAACACCCAGTTGTTTGGTGAAAGTTGAAAGGGCAGGAGATGCAGGACATGTTCAGTGTTCGGTTCGCATGTTCTGGGAAAGTCTTTTGACCCACTGCAAACATGCGCAGTCTAGAATGGGACTCATCGCTTTCAGCACACACGCTTTTCCCCTACCCCGATCACGGGATCACACTTGCGCCTCTGCCTGACGGCTCGGAGGGCCTTGGGTTCTGCCGAAAATGGGTCGACACGTCGATCAGGTCCCGTTGGTGAAAAGCGATCGGAGCCCCCCTGAAAAAGCAAACACTTCACTCACACTCCAAAGGAAGTGAAGGGTTCAAACATGTTCAAACCATGTAAACCAGGATTCTGGGTGGAGCAACAAAGAAGAGCAACCAACACTGACAAAACAAGAGCAACCACCAAGACTCCCCCAACTCTTGGGCTTCAAGATGCTGAAACCAGTGTTTCACTCCTAGGATCTCACTGTGTGCAGGTGAAACCTTGTGGGCTAGCACAGCGAGGGTCTTTACACAGCGAAAACAATGAGGATTGTGGTCACCGAACACCACTCTGTTGTGAGATGCCATTTGCTTCAATGGATCAACTTCAACCACCTTCTAATTAGGGCAAACCCTGCAAATGAGGGACGCAACTTCAGCCAATCCACATTTGGAGAGCACTTATGTTATGCTCTTACATCTCTTCCCGTCATGCCCCCCAAAACAACTACCATCCCAAATTGGACCGCGGCTTCATAGCAATCACTCAACTTGGATCCAAATTCCTGACAAAAATCCAGGCCTTGATCATTGAAACCCCATGGACTGGCACCCCAAGATGTATGGAAACCGTTCAGGAGGCGATCCATCCCTTCTCCGCCCACCAGGCCCCCGCGCTGCGCTGACGTTGCCGGGGCGGCCCACGAGATGCAAACGCCGAAAGCGAGTGCCGCTCACCTCCGGTCGGCGGGGAGGGTCATGATGACACATGCCGAGAGAATTCCATTTCTTGGAGATAGATGTTGATCCATTTGTTCACGCATTAAGTAATACTATATACAATTAACTTATATAATTGTTCTTTATGTATGTTTATTATTATTATACTTTACTAACTATATATATATATAAATATGTATCATCATATATCGTGGTTTAAAGGTCAATGTCAGTACATACATCTTCCGTACATGCTTTCTTCTCCGCGCTGTGGACTTTTTTGAGAGGACCTCGGAATCCGTCGTCCTCGTCCAAACAGGCCATCCATGGGCCAAAAGTTATGCCAAGCTCGTCTCTGAGATTGTGCCACACACCTTGTAGCCTGCAGACGTAGCGCTATCGGCGGCTTGAGCGAAAGCCTCTTGGAACAGAGCGTGTGCCCAGGAGTCCTCGACACAAAAAGAGCACCTGGATGACGCTCGAAACTCCGGACACTCGTCGTGGACACGACCGTTCGAACGCGTGCCCTGAAAAGGTGTCAGTGATTGGCAACGGCGGAGCGCCCAGTGCAATCAGTGAAACGTTTCGGTATCTTGTACAGGCAGCGACCAGGGGCCTCTCTTGACTGGATGACGTGGAGAGTCGTGATCCACCCCAAGCGTGGCTAAATGATGGCGACGCCAAACCACAAACAACAAAATCGAAAACAAGAACAACAAGAAGCAAAACAAAGAAAACACACATTTAAAAAAATAAAAACACCTAAAAACATATAATAAATCGGATCAGGGAGGAGTCGAACCTCCAGAAGTTGGGTCATCTACTGTCAAACAGCGATGCTAGCCAACGCCTTACCCATTAGGCAACTGATCCTATTGTTTACCCAACACGAGACGCTCAGGACAATTCGCGCACGACTCAAAATGCAAAAAGCGCAATCAGTTCAAAAAGGGCAACCTGACTCGCTAACATCAGAATGGAAAATGGCACCTATCACGAGCAAAGGCGGCCTTTTTCTACTTCCACGTCGCGAGTCGGGCTGCGCCAAAGAAGCTGGCACTGCATCTGTCCAGGCAGCCGGCCGTGACTGTTACGAGCTCGCCGTAAATGACGAAACGCATGGAATTGCTGCGCCATCAAATGACTAAAGAATCATATGATCTTCAGAGAAGATCATAAGATCAAACAAGAGTCTTGGGTGATCCATCCAACCAAACTTTGCTGTAAGCCTGCCCCCCTAAGTCCCCAAGTCGCCTTGGTGTGAACAGCACCTGCTTCGTGGTTCCCACACCGTGCTCCACCGTGGCGCCCGCCGCGCGGAGCGTCGCCTCCGCGAAGCCCAGCAGGTCCATGAGCAACTCCGGCACGTCGCGCGAGCGCTTCGAGGGTCGAGCGCGAGCGGCCTTCGAGGGCAGCGGAGCGAAGGGTCGGCGGGGAGCGCGAAGAGGTTCCAAGCACATCGGTAGTTTGGATGTTTTGGGGGCATGGCAAGACTCGGGTTTTTGGGCTCCATCTCCAGGGTGACTACAATTCTGGCATCTTCGGGCCACGCGCAACATATGTTGTGGGTGCTCGATCACTTCAACTGCCAAATCCCCCAGTTTCACATGAGCTGCGAGATGCTGTGCCTTGTTTTTGTTTGACACATGCCCCAACCTGTGATACCATATACCCCATTACATGAATCCATGAGAATTCCACGTATCAAATTCGAGGATAGTCACCCACACAGGCAAGTCGAAGTCGTGTCACATGCGATCCTAACATCTCCCCCATGGTCTGAAATTCATCTTCCGAAAAATGGATTCAAGAGCAGACATTGGAACAACTCCCTTGATTTGAGCAGCTTCGAAAACCCCTGTTACTTTTTTGTATAATCCAGGTTCTATCGATGATGTTTTGACAAATTGTGTCTTTCTTCTGATGGTTCTATCGAAAAGTATCCTTCTGTTTGGTGCCTCCGCTGCGGCCGTAGAGATTTCAGCGACATCTCGAGCTTCTTCAGACACCTACACGAGGTTTCAAAGGCATGTTTAGAGTCGGGTCCAAGTGAGATTTCGATAAGAGAGCAAATACGTGAATTAACATGGAACCCCAAAACCACTGGGTTGTAGAGGAAAATGGTCTTCCACCGGTCAATCCTCAGGTTCCATGTTAGTTTGGATTAAATCAACATTCTGTGTCCAATGTTTTGTGAAGACCAGTTGTCATGAACACCCTGCTGCGCGCAGATTTCGGCACCAACCGAAAAACTCGCTCGTCGCGTCAGCGCGTACCGTTCACCTCCGGCTCCACGCCGGCATCGAAGTGCTGGGCCAACAAATCCTCTTCTGCCCACTGGGAAAGCTCCTTGAGTGGAAGAACCGTGCGGAACGACAGGCTGAAGCGACTGCCTTGGTGGAGCTCCTGGTCTGGTGCCAGGCAAGCTGTTTTTGCTTCTGTGAACATCCATTCAGGTGTTCTTATCCCCCTGAATGCCGAACATGGTCAAACATCAATGAACATCAATCGACTGTTTGACATCTATCTTTATTTGCTTTTTCGGCTCATCATGTTTCATCTGCCTCTACCATCATATCATCTATATCATCCTATCGCTTATATACACCTTGGCCAATCTCGGCCACATGCACGTACATTGACCATCAACCATTTCCACAACTTCCCACACCACCGAACTCCCTCCCCCGCATCGTTCTTCCGTCCCACCGGTCCCACCGACTCACCGGTCCCACCGCCTCAGGGATCAGCGCAGAGACTTCGACCTCGGCCGAGCGCACGCCCAGCTTGCAGCCTGGCGCTCTGGCCACGGTCCCAAAGGTCCACCGAACGTGTGACGACAGCCGGACCGGCCGGTGTGGATGAATCTACATAGTGGCGAAAAAAGAAGGGGCGTTCACCACTTCCCAGTTTGAAAATCCATGTGTTTGAAAAAAAGACATTGTAATCATCCTGCAAGCAAAGTCCAGCTGCACTTCTGTTAACCGTTGAACCACTGGTGGACCACACTTCGAAGGTTCTGACCACTGTTCTGACCCAACCCTTGACATCTCGACCGTCTCCGATGGGAGGGAGAACCCCTCTGCCGACTCTGCCCGGCCTGCCACTTGGAGCCTCGGCGATAGAGATGGATCGATCGATGTTTTGCCTTCTTTGGAAGTGCCAGCAGTTCATGTTCCACCATGTTCGACAGAAAGTGCCATCGGGTGCCTAGAAAAATGGAGGAGAATCAGAGACGGAGAGCTATGCTTTTCATTGGATGGGACTGGCATGAATGACTCGATGCTCAGCTTTGGATGAGGTTTGTTTGTCCCAGATTCATTGGGACCGTCCTGCACTGCCGGATGGACGTCCATTCAATGCCGGATTCACGATTTCTACCGGGGAGGTGTTTCTATGATTTGACCAACATGTTTTGGCCAAGAAAGAGTGCGTTGTTGTCCTTTTTGCTGGAAGAACGCACACCCCAATTTGCCAATATACCTTACAACTTTGGAAGCCGAGGCGTAGAAGGAGCCCAAAACACATCACAACACGAGCCATTCAACACTGAGACATACTAAGACTAACACCATTCGACTCAACACCAATACCCACCTTTCCTGAGAAAAAAGGGGCTCCTGTTTGACCACTTGTTCATCCAAATCTACCCAAGACCAACAGGGCTTTCCGTTTCGTCAAGGCACTTCTGGATGTGTGCCAGGTCGACGACCAGCAAGGAACAAGCAGTATCGACCTGTGCGTGTCGGCGCGCCGCACAGCGGGCGGAAAGGCAGTCCTGGACATTAGACTCATTAGACTAAAAGGATACAGTCCCAACCAGAAACAAATGCTTGTTCAAATCAATTTTTTGTTAATTCATGATCCTTTTACACAGGAATGGCTGTTTGGGGAAACATCCAGTTGTTTCTGGTTATTTGGACATTACCATTAAAACATGCAAGCAAAGTAGGCAAGTCCCCATGCCGCCCAATCCGTTTATGTCCCCATGATTGATCCATTCAAGTCTGAGTCATTCGAGATCGATGATGAGCCACCCGGCGCAGCGGCAAGGACCAGTGACCTGACGGTCGGACACCGTCGGTCGACGGCTGACACCGTCCGATCGCTCCGTTCGTAGCGATGCCCTTTGTTCCTAGTAGCGTCCTTGCTCCTAGTAGTACGGCCAGGAGCCCCTAGTAGCGTCCTTGTTCCTAGTAACGATGCCTCGCCTCAATGATCTTCTCCTCCAGTCCCAGGTCCGAGAGCTGCACTCGCGCGCCCGAGCGGCTTTGCAACTCCTGCGACGGTCGTGGGCGTCGCGACGGACGTCGCGGCGATGGTTGTGGGTGAGGCGTTTTGGGGTAGGGCGGCCCCGGGAGTGGGAAGTGGAGAGGTTAGAGTTGGTCTGAAGATACTCAGGTTTGTGGCTTGTGGTCGGGGGGAGAGAATGTGTCTATCTGTCTATCTGTCTAACTGCCTATCTGTAGCTACCTAGCTACCTATCTATCTGTCTATCTGTTTACCTCTCTATCCACTAATCCATGTCTTAATATCATTGTCTGTGGCAAGACGTCAGTCTGCCGCAGTGTCTTCATGTGAGCACTCAGCTGCAGCACGGTGAGGAGATTAATGATGGTGATGTACTCCCAAGCACAAAGGTTGAATTCTGAAGAGTCCCTTGGACACGCACAAACTTCCACCTTCCAAATTTGGGTGTTGTCGTTGAGACTGCACCTTCCACCTTCCAAGGTTCAAGGCGTTTGGCTTGAGTTCCACAAAGAATCCTGCATGCTTACTCTGTGTACCACATCTGGTACTCACTCTGGTACTCTTCATTTCTCCACCGAGGTTGAAGAACCCTATAGACTATCCCATAGGTACCCTGGTAGGGCCTACTATAAGGTCACTTAACCTCTGTTGGTAGGTGTGCAAGTCTGACTGTACTTGCTATGTCTGTACTCCTCGATATTCCTCGTTGGGTGAGGAGGATGACTGGCGTGGCAGTGGAGCTAGCTACAGCTGGCTTTCGTGATTTGTGACGCTTTTGTTGGATGTTGTTTGGTCCATTGGTGTTTCAATGATTTTCAATTGTCCTGGTGGAGCTTGCATGATAGATTAAGATGGCGTGGGGTGAAAACCGAAGAGTCTTCTGCTACAGGTCTCCTGTCTTGGCGAGTATAGCCAGTATAGCCCACAATAAGTGGAACAGTTCCGCAAAACACATCACGTCCACCTCTTGGACTGCTGCTGGTTCTCCCTCCGACTGCATGCTAACACACTCGACGACCCCACGCGACCCCGTCCACGACCCCGTGTTGCCCTCCTGCACATTGGTGCCCTTCTTTCCGATCAGCCGTCCAGCGAAGTCTCCCGGCACCACCACGTGCAAGGAGCTGCTCCCTGGCGACCGGCGGCCGTTCGCTGGGACCCGTTGGACCGCGGCAAGGGCAAGGACCACGCAGCGGCGACCGCGGGTGGAGAAGACCTGCCTGTGTTGGCTGCTGCTTTGGATGCGGCAGTTCTCACATGTTTGGCTTGCATGGAGGGTTTTGGGGATGCCTTTGCTGATGGGCACGACTACAGCTGAGGGTGCCCCATACAATATTCAATACAAAGTATTGGAGAGGTGTGGTGATCTTCACAAGGTTGTTTATGCCATGTGTCACTGTTTTGCGCATGGTTAAGGTTTGCTGTTGATTGATTGGACAAACGTCTGTTCGGGTGTGGAATAGAAATTGCTGCTAGTGCATGCAATCTATCGCAATATGCTTGGCTGCTGTCCAAGACATGCATTCTTCATCATTCTTCCAAAGGTGATCAGGGAAAAGCACGCCTGGAAAGCCAAGCTCACAGTCTTCGCAAAAAGAAACTCTGACATGGAAAGAGAAGGGCTTGGGAACCCTACCATTACCAGGTGGGAGCTTCATTAGCGGCGCCAGCACCTCTTTGGAGGCTCAGTGGCGCGGGCAGACCCTCAGTTCGGCATCGACCGCCGTACGCCCACGGTGCTTCTCTTTTGGCCTCGACCAACGCCCTCGACGGGCGGCTCCAGGCTTCGATTTGGCCCAGACCGAGACCGGGTCCCCATGCACCGGCGGCGTCGTTGGTGAAACGGGCGACGGGCGCCCCTGGGGCCGCACGGTCCGTCCAACGGTGGTCCGGTCGGTCGACGACTTCTTCGTGGTCGAACGAGTCCGGTGGTCTCCACTCGCAGTGCTCCCAGGAACGACCGGTGCATTAGCAACCTCCCTGGCTGAGAGACCGCTCACACTGGACACAACTCGCTCTATGTGGAGACAGGGCGTATGGGTCGCAACCGATTGCTCGTGGATGTTTGGTTTCTGAATTTCACTGATTGGAAGATTGCCTTCTTGTTGAAAGACTCCATGAAAGCAAAAAAAGCATCAGAAAACAATCAGCCAATGACAGCCGAACTCATTGACGCCAAACCTTCCCTCTCGCCAGGGAGAGGTCCACCGTACGCAGCATTGGCGCACCGGGGGACGGCGAGCAGTTATAATTCGAAAAAATTCCACACAATCACGCAGCCATCCTGACAAATTTGCAGCAAAACCATGCCAAAACGACAAAAGACTTGAACTTGTTGAACAACTTGGCGCACGTGAGACTTGAAGTGGTAAAGCCGGTAATCAACATCATCTATCTTCCCCAACCCGTCCAATCCTCTGCTTCTGGACACCGCTGGCTCCACCAAATGGCACGGGTCCTCGCGCCTTTCCAGCGCTGATGAGTTGCTTTTGGTCCGGACTCCATCGGACCTGTGTGATCCCACCTGGAGCGGAGTGGAGCGACGCTTCTCGGACGCGGATTGCTTTCCGAAACACCCCATGTGGCGAGGATCGTTTCAACGAAGGTGCAAGTGCAAGTGCACGAAGTCTGGCCTGAATGTCCTTCGCATTCTTGTATACACTGGCAGGAGACCAAGTCGTAGATGTACATCCTCTCGCAAATTCGACCGTAGATCCCTGACTCAAGTTCCCAGATCAACACGATTGCAGTGGTGTGGTGAGCTGGGGAAATGTTTGCATGGAAAATGGAGACGTGTGTCGATTCTTTTGGTTCGAACGTGGCAGTGAGCTCTCAACTGCCGTGTCTAACACGGAGGTTCAAACGCACCATACGCCTTCTTGGGAAAGGGGCCGCTTAGCTCTCTTCTGATAGTTGTTGCTCTGACCCATGATGCACCGCCACAAACACCGGCATGATAATCTGTGTCAAGCTCTCGTATAGCAGCCTAGTGACGGGTGTATAATCCTCCTTGGAATTCAACCTCAACCCTGGGGGTCCCCATTCTATGGCTATAATTTGGTTTTTCAATGCGCACCCTCTATAAAATGAATTCACCAGGGCACACACCACAAAAGCGCATGTATATAGAATGGTGACCCCCAGGGTAGATTTTGACAATGGTTTATTTCTACAAGGCCCTCTAAAAATCGTCTATAGAATGGTTCACCCAGGCAAGTGATAATTTCTGCAAATTTTCCATCGAGACAAATCAATGGTTCTTAGCTTTTGAAGGGCGCCATTTTATAGAGGTTTAACCTCTGGAAAAAAATAGAACAACTTGTTTTCCACCTTAAGAGTACATTTGAAAAAGGATCCACAAAATTCCCAAATGTCCTCAACACATTTCCCCATGAGGGCTGCACACAATTGTATGTATTGAATTGGACTTCCATGGATGTCCCTTGATTATCCAAAATCGTTCCTATCTTTGAAGAAAAAGTGTCCCAGATGTTCCCAGATACACCCTAAACTATCCTAGACTCCCCAAGAAATCCCTAGAAGATCCTGTCCGGATTATATACAGCTTTGTATAAAAATGTTCTAGGACATTCTAGAGTTCTAGGACCACGTATATAAGTAGAGCTGTGTACCTCCATTTTATAGACTGCACACAGCAAATCCAAGAGAAGCTGGCCAGTTTATAGAGATTTGACGGGATAAACATGCTTTGAAAAGACAAGCTGCCTTCTACTTTAAGAGTTTATGTTCAAAAAAAGGATTCAAGGAATTCCGAGACAATCCAATAGTGTCTCTATATGTCGCTATGTAAATCTCTATAAAGTGGAGATCCCTCAAATTTCCTCAACACATTCTCTATAAAATAGGCTCCATGAGGGCTGCACACAAATGTATGTCTTTGAAATGGAACTTCCATGGATGTTCCTTGATGATCCAAATTGCTCGTATCTTTCCAAACATGATTTTCCCAAATACCTCTAGAACCCTCTAAACTATCCTAGACTCCCCTAGAATATCGTGTAGGTATTACAGCTTTGAATAACATGGTCTAGTACATTCTAGGACCATGTAAGTAGAGCTGTGCACCCCCATTTTATATATATAGACTTAGCAAATCCTCCATTATATAGAGATTTAACGCGATAAACGTGCTCTGAAAAAAAAGAACAACAAGTTGGTTTAAATGTGTTCTATATTGTTTTATGTGATGTTCAACAATGGCGTCCGGTGGAATGAGGAGATCAAGGAAATGTCGATGGAAAAGGACGACGTGAAGTTCCGAAAAAGACCTGGGCGTTTGAGAAGTCGCAGCCAAGCAGACCGAGAGCACTGGGCAAAACATGGCCCTGCCTGAAAGTATTGAGTGGCGTGGCGTGCATCATTGCTTACTTTTTCTCATTTACCCTACATTGCCAAAATCTGACATTCCAGATTCTGACATGTCCCGAATGTCTGCCGCCTCAGGTCCGAAAAAATGAATCCTCAAGAACAATGGGGACCTGCGAAAATTTGCACGCTCTTGGAGGACAACAAAAAATCATCTATAACATGGTTCACCCAAGCAAGGCCAAACATTGTTCAAAAACCTAACATGGCTCTGAAAATGGCCTGGGATAAACAAATTTCATGTTATATAGAGCAAAAAAGGTGTATTAAAAAATTCCAACCGGGATTGTATATATTATATAGTATATACCAGCTGCTAGCTAGCGTGGACTCCCAACCCGAAAAAACCGTGAAAACCCATATTGACCCCAAACCTCTCTGTTCCTTCATTGGAGTAAAGCAACTGCATGTCGACCTTGCTCCGCCCTCCGCCCGCCATCCTAGCGTCGTCGGAGCCCGCCGCGATGTATCTGCCGTTGGGCGAGATCTCGCAGCAACGCCTCGGTGGTCCGAGGGTCGCCACGTTGAGTTCAAAAGGGAATTGGTGGCATGACCATGATCTCATCATAACTGAGAATGTCATGTATAAGTTCGATATATCCTGTTATATCTACTTAATATTATACAATATACTCCCAAAAAGAAAACCTCCGTCTCACTCTGCTGCTTTGAGGTGGGCGATGACTTGCACACCGCGTCGCTCCGCGTCGCTCCACGTCGCTCCGGGTCGCCCCGGCAACCGGAGCATCGACTCGGTGGGGCCGTCGATGCATCCTACGAGGTGCGCAGATGGGAAAGGGATGGACAGATGTCGAGTGGACAATGGTAGTGTTTCATGATGTGCGTTTGGTGTTTTAGATGGTTTTAGTATTTCAGACTGACTGTGTGTTTCTGTTTCTGTGTCACCGTGTGTTCAAAAACAACGATCGTTTTTGTAGGGTCAATTCGATCCTAAACTCTGGACCTGAAAAGAACGACCCGTCCGCGAACACCAGCTTTCGTTCTTTTTCTTTTCTTTTGATGTTTCTTTGTTATCTTTTCTTGTGTTCTTCGTTCTTGTTCTGTCTTTATTAGGGGAGTCTCCACTCTACTTCGCTTGATGCTGCGCCGAGACGTCTCGCTTTCGCTACAAGGGTGATTGGCTACATCTCTACTCGACCCGGAAGCAGGATGCTAATTTAGCCTACCGTTCTTTCAACGCTGAAGTGGATCAGTCCTCTGTGAATACCCTTCTACTCAGTCTTGACACTCACTGTAGCTGCGACTGGAAATTTTAGGCCAACATGTGACGCGTGCTTTGAAAAGTGCTGTTTCATCGTTACAAGAGATGCTTAAACAAACATGGGGTATGTGATTGTTTTCTTTCTTAAGGCCCTGAGGTCATCTACGTAACCGACTCACTATATTTCATGATGTTTCTATGTTTCATCTAGCTCGAACTACACTGCAAATTTCCCCTCATTCCAACCCATCTCCCTATATCTCTTTGAGCCTGTGGGGTCAGGATAGTCAACGTCCCAAAAGAGGAGCTTGCCATCTTGAGCGCAGCTCACCACCTGAACTTTGCCGCCAGGAATTTGGACAATCCAGTAGGTATATCTATGTCAAACAGAGATACAGCAATGAATATGTCTATTGCTCCCACACCCACCCGCAAAGGAAAAGCAAATCCGTGGATCTATTGTTTCGAGATGTTTCCAGCCACAATCCAAACCCAGATTCTCCCGAATGCTTGTTGGATGGGGCAGATTGGAGAGTCAGCGGAAGACAGTTCGCTTATCTCCCCGCCTCATTGTCGTGGTCCTTCCTTTGAGAAATGCCAGTGATATTGCCACCGGGCGAGGTGTGCTGGACCAAAGCTTTATTCTGCTTTAGATCCTCGGATCGACGGGTGAGCACCGGACGGAGGGGAGCGGAATGTTTGTCACTCAAGTTGTGACGCCAAAACCTCGCGGAAACGAAACATCCAAATGCTTTCGGCCCAAGCCTCGAAAAAGAAAGACCGAATCTGTCAGTGGTCAGTGCATCTGGACCAAAGGAACTGATTGAGGCTCTGGCATACGTGACGACTAGCTTATCCTCGCTGGCGGAGTGAACCACATGAGGACTCACCTGGCAGGCTAGCAGCATTTTGGGGCTTGATCAAAGGCAGCTTGGAGCAAAATAGACAATTTAATTATAGCAAAAAAACTGCTGATGGTTCTGGTGAAAAGTTCCCCTGATATCTGTTTGGAGAGTGCTGGACTGCTAGACTGCTAGACTCTTCAAACAGATTGCTCCGCTCTGCGTGTCTCAACAGAGCGCTTCGTGTCTCACCCGGGTTTTTCGACCAAAAAGTTCCCTCAGATGTTCCCGACACCAACTCCGAACCCACCCCGGCCCCACGGGCGCTCTCCGACGGTTCGCACGAAGAACAGTTCTCGCCTCATCGAGGAGAATGTCCGCCACTGGCTTCCGATGGTTCTGGAAGGATGATAACATCTCCCGTGACGTTCGGTGCCAAAAGCCTCAGAGACCGCCTACAGTAGCTACCCGGCCGGATCAGGCGGGACAGTGATTGGTCAGATGCACGTACTTGTGAGGCTCATAAATTGCCACGAACGAGCCTACGCTCCAAACCAGGGACATTTGAAAAATGGAATGAGGATAAAAGGGATGAAGAGATCAGATCTGCATAATTATATACAGTACTGAAATTGACAATGCAAATATAGATCATGTTTGCCCCAAGCCCAAGAAACAATAATATTATATAAAGACATCAATGACAATTCTGATTTCCATGGATCTTCGTCCTCACACGGACTCTGTGTCGACAGACTTCGTCCATCTGGGCACCCCCGGCGGACCGCAGAGTCGCCCCCGCCGGTGACCACGAAGTTCGCGGTCTCACGGACCACCGTCACCCCTTGCCTAGCGGAGCGCAGACGGAGCGAAGCCCTGGTTCGCGAAGGGTGTGAACGGGAGTGTTCCAACCTGTTGAAGCTGGGTTAAATGCATGTGGACAAGTGGGCTGTGGCTCAAACTGAGTGAAATGAGCGTATGAATATGTATGCATCCATGGGCCGCAGTGAACCTTTCAGAACATCATGGGAAGAGTCCCGCATGATAGGCAGAAAAAAAAAACAGTGGAAGGCAATGATAGGTGCTCCAATCCCTGGTCTGCACGAGAACTCTTGCCCATCCACTAGTTTTCCCATGTTGAATCATGTTGATCAAAATCCAGATTTGCAACAAAGATCTGTGCGCCTGTGGCAGTTCATCTGCCACAATTGCTTGCTCGTCCCCTTGTCGGAAGACCAAGCTCGCAAGTAGCCATCATCCTTATTCCCCAAGGATTCAAAAAGCTGGTACTTGAGAGGAGGGAGACACGAAAGGTAGGACAGCGGGAAGAGAAGAGAGCGCGAGAGGCAGGAACAAAAATGCAATGTTCGACATGGTGATTTATCCCCTCGGAGGCGACCTTTCGTAAATATATGTTCATATGCACTTTAAATGTTCAAACATGTGCTCTCGAAATGTTCAAAAAGATTCTTAGGAAAACAAACTTGCCCCATGGCTCAGATCATCGGTGAGCATTGAATCGGAACATCATAGGATTTGAACTATCCTGAAACCATAAGAGGCTCACGAAGACGCTCCCCAGGAGAGAATTGACGTGCTTCACAAAACAAACTCTAGGTATGTATCCCCTCGGGGAACACCTTTCGTGATTAGAATTTCATATTCACTCTTTCTGAATGTTCAAGAGGGTTTCAACTATCCTGAAATCATGAGAGGCTCACGAAGACAATCTCCAGGAGAGAATTGATTTTAGAGGGGGGGAGGGGGGGGGGGG